CTCTTTCAACTGTTTCAACTGTTTACATTAAAACTGGCTGTGGTTTCCACTGTAACTAATAGGACTAAATAGAAAAAATATAATTTAGCTTATGCAGCACTGCAGTAATTACAGAAAGACCAGGAAAGCCAAAATCTAATGAGCCTGAGATTGTTGAGATTTTCATGCATCTTGGCTTTGCAGGCTGGCAAAATAGCTGGCACTCTGACAAGACTGATGCCAGACAGTTAGCAGAGCTTTAAATTTGTTCAAGAAGGTGAAGTGATAATGGCATTTAAAATAGGCCCGTGACACATTAAGAAAAACTCAAGTTTTACACTGCCAGCTTTATAATTCCCAGTCTGCCTCAGAAGTTTAGATGGTGTCACAAGAACAAACCAGAAAAATTCTGCAACCAAAAACGTCTTATGGAAAAGCTCAAAATTTCCTGGGAAAAAGGAGAACAAGAATGAAAAAGAAAACAAAAATTCCAACAATAGAGAATCAGCATTTTGATTCTGCCATCCATTTCTATATACATAGATAACAATCCAGTTAATGGCACAATGTAAAAGAAGTATATTTTTAAAGAGCATATGAAGTTCTCAGATAAATGCTTCTTAACTTAAATGAGGTCTGTGGATACCATTGGTTGAAGACAACTTTTTTGCAAAGCTAAAGAAGCAAATTTGTTTGAATGTTTGCTTCAACTGAAGAGTTGGATTTTTCCAAATGCTTGTTACAATTTTAGCCTTTGAAAAAATAATTATAAAATGAGAAACCCCACTGCTGGCTTTATGTGAAAAAGTCCATGTTTTATGTATGTTACATGCCATTTGTTTAAAAGATTATTAAGAAGTGCCTACATCTGAAAATGCTGCATCAAACCATTTGTAACATAAGAACACAGACTACTTATAAAAATACTCAAAGAGACTCCCTTATTCATTCTGAACCCATCCTTAATTTATGTCTCTCCATTTAACAGAAGAGATGCAGAATCTGAGCTTTGTGTAGGCAGGATTTTACAAACTGTTCTTATAAAATCTAACCTACTCCCCATTCTGAAGGCTTATACATGAAAAAGAAGAAAAGGTATGAGTAGTTACTAGACTAGAATTAGAGACATCCTATTTACCTACAACATCATATACTAGGAAGGTCTGTCCTAACCTGGCCCAAAATATTTCCATTATCTATTTTCTTGACTAGAACTGTAAACAAAAAGCTGAAAACTATCTTAAAGGCATGGACTGGAATCGGACAGAGACCACTAAGCTATAAACACTCCAAAGAAGCAAAAATGGTCATACATAGAAAGTACCTGCTGTCTGGCTTCCATAGCAAGGGCCACTAAGCTGAAACATGACACAGGCTGCTCTCAACACGCCATGTGTACTCTCACCAGGCAGTAACCAGCTGTCCACCACCACTGTGCCTATGATCCCCACTGCTGCACCTGCTCCTCAGCCATTCCAACTTCAAAAAGCTTAAAAATAAAAAATTCCATTAAAAATTAAATTGTATTTAGTATTGTGGAATGGCATTTTAGCAAACATTAATACTCCTACCAGCAATCCATAATTTTAGCATTTTCACTTCTTAAGTTAGCGAAAAATAGTTATGTAACTCTTAATTGTACATACACACAATTACTCACAGATTTTGTTACATTTTTATACAGATTTGCAAGACAAATAAGTCCAGTGCATTGCTAACATCTGTATCTCCACACCCAAGAACATGCATAACTCATCAATTAAGAAGCATTAGCACAGCCTGAGGGAAGTTTGCTTCTGCCACCCACTCAGACTGTTTTCAGCAGAACAAGAGGGTTCTTCAAAAGCCACCAGACACACAACTCAGTGCTGATTCTTTGCTGGCATCAAGCTCTCATTCTAATCTAAAAGAAGACAAAAAATATATTACATGTGGAACTTGACTTCTATACAGCAGATGTCCTCTTCTGACCTGCCAGGACCAGCAGACAGGATCGTCTCTTTAGCCTCGGGGTCTGGTAGGGGTGCTAGCCTCTGCATGCCTGCCTGCCCGAAAAGACTCCTCACAGAAGACTCTTATAAACTGTGCCTAACCAGCCCTTCTGGAACAGGTTACCCAGAAGGTTGCGGGGTCCCCTTCTCTGGGGATATTCAAGACCCGCATGGATGCAGTCCTGGGAGTTGGACTAGATGATCTCTAGAGGTCCCTTTGAAATCTTACAATTCTGTGATTTTGTGATCCTCTCCTTCTCAGTCTGGAACACTGGTGTGAGGGAACGCAGGCTCTTTTGTGCACCATTTGGAACAAAGGGTCATAGTGAACATTGCAGCAAACCAGCAGCAAGGCAGCCTGAAAAGCTGAGGGATTAAGACTGCCAGCTAGAGCTACTAACAGTAATTTTAATTACATTTAGATGTTTGTAAATGTGGTCTACACAGCTGAAGTTATTTACCTAAAAGCTTCATTCATTGTTGTTTTATTATTCTCTGTTTCTTGATTTAAAATGGATTAACAACTTGCCATTAAGGGTAACTTAAGGGTAACCTTGCAAGAATCTCTGCAAGAATAAAAACTTCTGACACTAACTTTCCATGTCACAGTTCATAAAGTTTTTCACTTTTGTTTAAAACTAGCTTTAAGTTACATTCACACCACTCTCTTGTTCCAAAACCAAAAAGTATCAACAGACTTTTTTATCTTCACATAAACAATAGGTCTTTTAATATTTGACACTGATGTCTACCTATGCAACTTTACCTTATTTAATACAGTATTTTAAAGACAGAGCCTGTTGGCACTTATACTTCACTTGCTAATGGCAAAACAAGTTTGAATCCTAGTTTGAAACAAGAAAAGAGAAAGCTGAGTTAAATTAAAAGCTCAGTTCAAATGAAGTAAGAGAATTCTGCCACTGATTTTTAATGAAAGCAGGCTCAGTGCTCACACGTTTCAGAAGTTAGAAAAAGAGCAAAGTTCTTGTACCTCTCAATCCATGCAACAATGCCATATCCTGTCACTTAGAGCTATGAATTTAACCTTTCTTCCTTTCATACACACACAAAAGAAAAAAATAAAATATGAAAAAGTGTGTAAGAGTTGTTCTCAGAAGACTTCTGATAGCGCTCAGCTGTGACTACTATAAATGCTACACTACACTCTAGCGTCCTTTTTACGAATAGCAGGCACTTCTGTCAAACGGTCACTTCTCATTTTGATCAAGCATCAATCTTATTGAAAAGCAGTGAACTGCTCTCCTAATATAATTCTTTGAAATAACGTATTTCAAAATAGCATAATTGTAATTAAGCAATAAACAGTCACATATTTCATTAAAAGCTATTGATTTTTACTGAACACATATTTATTTAACCAGACATCAAGTTCACTAAGTTAGTCTAAAGCTTTTTGAGGACACTGTAAGGTGCTGCTTTTACAGTATACAACCAATTATATACAAATGCTTTAAAATGGTGAACACAGCAGTCACCACATCAAACCCCAGAACCATACTGATTTGCTCTAGTGACCACTCAAGGTCCTTTGCAGGCAGTATTCCTCAGGAAAAATACCTTACAATGACTTCACTGTAAGTAAGAAAGCTAGAAGTCTGTCACATAGATGAACCTTTCTTGTATAATTTGGAAACACTAGTTTGATAACTAATGTAGTATATTTGGCAAACATGCTCATAGAAGTCTACAAAAACCAGGTTAGACTGCACCCAAGCATCTCATTAAGAGATTGATGGGAATGAGATGGACCAGAACAGTAAGATTTTGCTCTGAGAAAATTAGTATTGCCTTATCTGAGAGGCCAATGCCAATTCAGGCAGACCACATCAGTACAAAGCTATAAACAAAGTTTTGGTTTTTAAGTTGAAACACAGCTACACTTGTTGAAACAGACAGTAAACACTGGACCGCTTCAGCCACCAGCATACGCTGCTGGCCCCTGCTTGGCCTGTTGTCTATCTTAATGTCCTGGTTCCTTGCCGCTGAGTGATTTCCTCACCAGCCTGACTGCAGGCTTCCAATGCTGCCAAGCCTTCTGCAGCCCTGGGCACAGGGCTTTGAATTTGCCAAATCTCGTGACATTCCTAATGATAAGACAGTTTGTCAACACGCCTCTGAATGGCAGCCCAATCCACCTGCAGTAGAGTAACAGATCCCTCTCACTGGTGACATCTGCAAGCTTGCTGTGCCTGCCTTCACCAAGCTGGTCACTAGGAACATGTTCACCAGCTCTGCAGAGAATAAACTCCCATGGAAACCTTTCCTATGCAGCTATTTCATAGACTTCAAACTGGAGATTGCCTGAGCTTAACATCACCCAGCTCTTTGTTGATGTTGGAGCCCCACTCTCAGCTTGGCTAACAGAAGATTGTAGAAAATTGTCAGACGCCTCCCTAGTATTCTTATCCACCTAGATGAAAGTAACCACCATTTCAAAACCTGTCATCACAGTTAGATACCATTAAATCCAGCAAAGCAAGTGGGCATACCGTTCTTTCTTCTGTCTCCTACTCCACTTTTTTTTTTGTGGCACATGACTTCATTAGCTCTCTGACAGTGCTCTTATTGCATTTTTCCTGACCCCTCTCCAAACTGCTACATAATCTGTATTTCCAAAGACTAAGACACTGTGAAACTGAAGAAGTGGCTCATAACATAACCATAGTAAACAATAACTAAATAGGGTTTGATGGATTATATCCACTGTACTGTTAGAACAGTGCAAGACATGACAGTAGTTTTACAGACAAGCTCTGAGTTACTTAGGGGTCTAGAGCCTTCTGAAACTACTTGAGTTTAAAACTCATACATATCTGTCAGAATCTCTGCTTCAGTTTCATAAGGCATGAAATACAAATAAGAAAGTTTGTTGCACTGGATGTGGATTTTTTTAAATCTACTTGGAGATGACATATTTTAAAAGGCACATAAAATCAATATAAAGCACAGTATTAGTTGTCTGCGTTTGTGTACATTAGGGTTTTTTTAAGAATTTAGATGTTTGTGGAGAATCGAATGTAGGCCTCCAAGAGAAATGGCATATCTGGATTTAAATGCTCATCTGTTTGCTATTTTTATGAAGAAATCTCCCATTAAAGCATACAATTTACAAGCCCTTCTATTAAAGATAGCAAAACCACATTTAAACCCTAATGATTTTACAAGCTCAAAACTCCATTTGATGAAAACTCCAATAAAGAGAGATAAATCATTTTATTTCTGTATCAAATCCTAATAGACATGGAGGAAAAAACTGAAGGGATTATTCCCAAATTGTGTAAGTGTAATATTGAATTCAGAACTATCAGGAAAAACAGGTTCCATACATTATAAAACTGAAGTGGACCATTAGTGTTGACCCAGACAAGTAAAAAATCTTAAGAACCCCCAAATCACCCTTTTTGAGCATTCTTTGTAAAGTATCACTCTCTTGATGTACCATTTTCTACCAGTTAAGAATATATTTCGGAGCTAACAAAGCTAGCCATTTTAGTTACTGTCCCCTTGTAACAGTCTGACCTTGTGTATGATTGAGTTTTTTGGCAGTGGTTTTCTCCAGACTGTTTGGCTTCCTTAATAAACTCAAACAATAGGTGCTTTATTTAAGGTAAGTAGCATTTTCTTTCCACTATCTGATGTGAGCACCAAAATACATAATTTCTGAACATTTCACATTCATTTCAGTTTGCTCCATTTATTCTCTCCCTAGTGCACAACTCATCTATTTGCAATTTCATTAAATTGGACTTCTGAAGTATGTAGAAATGCCTAAGTGCCGGTACTAAACAGAAGAATGAAGAAGTATGCATTTTCCACATTACCATAAGAAAGTGAAAATATTTTATAACAAACACTGTAGGGCTCTTTAAGCTACTGTCAATTCATATAAGTGTGCCTTTTAATATGCTCCTACCAAAACCTAAGGAGCAAGCACACTCAATGTATTTAAAATCTCTAGCCTTTTGGATAACAGTTGATGAACTGCTTAGAAAAGAAACAAAAGAAAAAAATAAATAAATAAAAGCTCATAAAATTGTATTCATATAGAAACAATTGTAGCAATATAGAAACAATTAAGAAAAACATAGAGAAGGAAATAAACATCAGCCACAGTATTTGATTATTCATTATGTAAGCAAAATTCTTGTTAACTTTACAGTATATACCATCTACCATTGACTACTGGTGTGGCAGAAGAGCCACAGGATGAGGCCTCTAGAACTCATTTTTATACAGTGCCCAGCAATACAAACATTAAGGACATCAAGGACCTGTTCTCTTTTACATTACTAAGCTCATACAGCCGGCCATTCATAAAAAGCTAAACTGCATACTAAACAAAAGCCACTTGCTACAGATAGACAGTTTACAGGTCTTCAAACTTGGCATAGATATTTAATAGCTTTAGGAACTTAAGAATTTAAAAAGAAACTCTTACCAGAAATTACAGGCATCACTGGTGTGATGAAATTCAGAAATTGTTTGTACAATGATGGAGGAAAAAAGTAACTGAGGACTATGTCTTTAAAGCCAAGGGAGTGCTATGCTTCTAGTAACAACACAAGCAACAACTAGGCTGACACATGCAGGAGTCGGAGGTTGAATTATCTGTTCCAAGCAGAAAGCATTACAGACTTCGACAAAAAATATTTCATCAGAGCTTGTGGAGCAAAAGTATGATGCTGGTAAAGGTATAAAAGAGAAAACTGAATCCAGTACTAAGAAGTCAGTATTTGACTTAAAAAATTATAAAGTTATTTTTTAAAGTTACACACAGGTGCATTGCAAGGGATAAATCTGGATAGGAGATCAGAGTCTTTAAAAGGAGATGACTCCAACAGCCACCTTTCACAGGAAGACAAAAAAAAAAAAAAAAAAATCAAAAAAAATCATAAATGAAAGGCACAAAAAATATATAGGTGGAAAAAGTCAGATAATCCTGAGAATTCATTACTGGGGAAGCCAAGGGAGAGAAAAAATGAATACAGTATAAAAAAGTAAAATACTTTTTTTTTTTTTTTAGGTTT